GGACCAGGGAGGATGATTCAACCACTCAACCACTAGATGTCGCTGAAAACAACAAATCCTACACACTGTGCCTTTAAAGAAATCTGCGAGATTGCCCTATACGACTGTATACCTGCAAAATGATGTAAAATCCTTAAAACTTACGGAAAAACTGTACAAGTTGACATGTATGCACACCTTTCATAGTTCTTAGACACACCGTACCAAGCGCCTGGGAAAACCCTCCTGCTGCAGGACGCATCGGCTTCCTTACAGCTGGAATCAACACTCCGGGAAAACTCCAAACTGCAACTATTTGACCACAAATAATGCAGCAACATAGGGCTTTCAGCATAAAAAACATGCCCACGAACATCAGACGAAGATCAGATCACACAATGCTTTGGTCAGAGTGTGGTGAGAAACAGTTCAGCCAAGGCCTTGTATCGAAAAGGGGAGGTCCCGTTGGCTCTTCGAACCAAATGACGCAATTTTCATCATGCGACATGCGACAATGAGAGACGATTTCAGCAGGTCAGAGGGAGTATGTAGAGGTCTTAAACCAGCCTTAAGGGAGATGTGAGTGTGTGTCCGGGGCAGCTATGTGTGAAAGGATCTAGATGTGAAACAACAACAAAGGAAAAAGAGGACAATCAAATGGGCTGCCATCATCATTTGTTCAGTAAGGTCTAGTGACACATAAAGGTAACTGTGACATCAACTAAAGACAAAACACTACAAAAATGGGAGGATTATTTGTGTTACGTAGATGTGTTTTATTTCATTGTTTAATTTCAGTTTTGCTGTCTGTAAAAAATATGCTTCCAAAGTTCACGAAAAGGAACTTCCCGCATGGTTTTTAATTTAAAATGTTAGCTGTCTGTCTCACTGCTCAAATGCTGCAAGGAGAGCAAAGTAGATGAGATTAAAACTCCACTCAGAAAAGCCCCAAAAAGTCCAGGGCTTTCTTACTGTAAAGAAACAACTACTGGCCTGTCAGACTGCCCTCCAAAATAGATCTAATTCATTTTAAATATCATACGCCATTGATTTTATCAAAGAATTAAAAAGTTTAAAGGAATAGTCCAGTCAACTTTGAAGTGATTTTCTGTCACACAGTTATCAATAGCCGGTGCCTTAGCTGGGACATCAGTCATAGAGCAGAGAGCATAAAGAAAGTGGCACAAGTCTTTTTCAAAACCAGTGCCAGTCTTGATGGTTTGTCATGGATTTGTCTTTTCTAATTATTTAAAGTAGACTCCAGTTTAGATAAAAACTCAGTTTTTAAACTTCAGAGTTTTTTATCAAAACTGGAGTTGTTTTTTTAACTTCATTAACTACTACTAGAATTTATTCACATGTACAGTGAAAGTAAACATTTTCAACTGAGGCTCTGTGAGGGAAGAGTTCTAAACACAACTTTTATTACCTCCGCCAATGTCGAGGTAATGTTTTCAGTCGCATATGTCTGTCTGTCGGTCTGTCTGTGGACAACATTACTCAAAAACTTGTGGACAGATTGTCATGACATTTTTACCACATGTGGGTACTGGGCCAAGGAACACACCTTTAAATTTTGGTGATGTTCCGGATCACGATGCGGATACAGGAATTTTTTTTCTTTTAACACTCTGAGATCTGCAAAGCTGTGATGCTTTCACAGGGCTTCTGTAAAAAACAGTGAGCTGGATTGGACAGCATGGACTTCAAACTTCATAAAAAAAATGTTAAAACCACATTTAATGATGAATAATTTTTGCCATAATGTGCGCATTTAGAGAACGTTTTGTGACCAGGAAGTGCGTGACTGCACCATGAAACCTATTTTTCCCATTTCCTCAAACACACCACATTTCCGAAACAACCAATCAAAACAGTTTGTCTCTAATAGGCTTGTAAACAGAGAGCTGCCGGGCCTCAAAGTTTGGAGACGGGGGGAGCCAGGAAGCACTTTATAAAGAGAGTCAAACCATTACAAACTCATACAAGGGGATAAAACAGACATTTTATAT